CTCCTTATAAGCCTCTTTTCATTTGGTTTCTTTATGGTGGAATGATTAGGTAAAGTCATCACAAGAGTTCAGAAATACATTATCTTGTGTCCAACTGAAAAGATGTAAAGAAAATCGCAAGCAGATGTTAAACTAAACTCTTATTACGTTCAATACAATTACAGTAGCAGTCTATTTTTCTAATATGTTACCATGTTAATGTTTACAATTGAACTTCAATCAACCTATAGCCAGCGTATAATAGATTGCATCCATGCTGGTTAAAGTTGAAAAATTTGAAATATTTGATAAAAATAAGTTTTCCAAACGTTCAAATTTGTCGATAAAATCATAGCATCTATCGATACGTATATCGGACATTTTATAAAAATAGATCACTGAAATAAGCATGAATTTGATAAATATAACAAATAAATCATCGAAAAAGATGGGCGGTTGTAAATGTGCTACCTCGCAAGTAAATTACCGTATCTTCTTTTACGGAATTTTATATCTAGAGACAAATAGCAAGCAGTAATCTTTTCTCATACGAGTATGTGAACTATTATTTAACCAACCATTATTTTATGGATTCACTTTACGACCAAATATTCCTCTATGACCATGAATTAAAGAATAAATTTAGACATATAATGTTCATTATTCTCTCCGTAATTCGATGTATACTACAAATTTACAACTGTACTTAATGGTAAATCAAGATCAATTAAACGAGTAATTTAAACTACATCTACCTCATGTTTACAGGCTAGTAAGCATTCTTTACTGCAAATGAAGATAAGCTTAGCCGTAAAAATACTTCTACTATTCGTTCATGATGATTACAGTTACTAACAGTAAAATATGCTTTGAGAACGAGTGCTAACAAACTCTTGCTTATTATGAAACTATAACTGTTGTTGATTATAAAATCCGGATGGCGAAGTCTAAGCAAGACTTATTCACATGATTTATTGTATGGTTTAACATGTTACGCAGAATCGTAGCTGAAATTAACAGTAAACTATAGCTGCATCTAGCTAAGAGTGTTTATAGATTTGCAATATGATTTGACACAGCATATAATTGAGAATTATAACTACTGTTGATTTTAAATGGACCTAAAGGTAGCTATGATCTTAATAGATATTATCTTCTTTCAGATCACCTAAATAATATAGTTAAAAACTCCATTAATTTGAAAGCATCTTTACTGGGCCAAATGATATTCATATTATCTGTTTTACTATATTATGATAGCTCATGAACCGTTACAGCTCTAAAATTAAAATATCTTTAGCTGCAGCAATATACATACTTTGCCTTTCATAATGAGAATCGAGAACGATCTAGAACCAAAATTGCTACAATACTAACTAAAAGTACCCGTATCAGTAGTCATTTAGACAAGCTAAATTTATAGTATCCTTTCTATATAAGGCATAATATCATATAAAATATAACCGTTACAGGATTAACTATAGCTAGTCATTTTAACGAAGTAATTCAAATTATCCCTTTCATAATGAGATACTATGGGATCATAGCTACTGCATTATTCATTATAAATAGTCATTTTAGCTGAGAAATACCTGATCTTCGTATTATCTACGTATATAACATATATCCATTTCCTGGTAAGATAGCCGATATTAAGAATCATGACTGTTATTAATTGTTAACAAAGCTATGCTAGGCCAAGAAAGGTAAACTTCATCATTTCTGAATACTATGTAATATAAAACACTAACTGCTATCTGCTGTCATGAGAAGCTAAATACATCTGTTATATATATTTTATATTATAAGTTGATTATTTGCACGATTACACGTAATATATCCCAAGTAGCGGTCAAATTACATCAGCATTATGCTATCTATATATATCATGTTAGGTGCGTTATAAATCATAATTATTATTCGTAAAAATAAAAGGTATGTTATAGCTCTACCATATTTATTTTGTACATTTTATGATTAAATATAAATTATCAAGTTGACAACGATTATTAAATAAAGGAAAAAAAACTCGCTAAATTCAGTAGGAATATTCTGTTAACAGAAATATTATGGTCTAGACAATTTTGAAGAAATTGATTTCTCTGGAAATGGCTTTATTTAGGCTAATTTTAAAACTGTCATAGCTATAGTTAACTATCTATTTCTTTCTTTGATCTACGTGGATTATTTATAAATTAGAATCTCGAGGTTATAGTTTAAAAAAGGAAAAAATTCTCGATGATGATATCAATAAAAGATGACCTAATATTTATATCTTATTGTCATTCAATCTGTTGATTGTAAATTGATAATGTGACATTGTCCACTACTATTTTCTGTTGTTTATCTATTATTTTTCATCGTCTACTTGGTAATTAACGGTATATAATATCCAATTATTACTTTAAATAAGATAGTGAATAATATTGATAATAGGTATTGTGGTCATGTTACAATAAGTACGATCCAAGTTACTCATGATATAGTTAGTATCAAAAGTATTGCAATATCGTTGTTCATTCTTGTTATTGTTTAATTTTCTTTTTCCAATCTTGTTTTACTCATTAATTTTTTCTCAATTTTATTGATTCAACATCGCCATATAGTGCTGCAAAATTCAGTCGTTAGAGAATTTTTATATGGAAGAAGAGAGAGAGAGAGAGAGTGAGATATACATGTAGACAGCGGTGAGAGCGAGTGCGTGCGAGAGAAAGAAAGCGCGACAGAAGAGAATTGAACAGATCGATCTGGTGCCAATAAAATACTTTGATGTAGTCATAAATTATCTTAAAGGAACATTTTTCTGAAGGAAATGGGAAAATACTGTATAGAATAGCAATCACGATATCAATCTAAAATTGGAGAAAAAGATTCGGTACAAAAATCTATCTTATCAAATTGAAGTAAGAAATTTTTAGTTGAATAATTTTTTTAGCTATTGACTCATATTGACTCAAGATTTTATCATCTAAAGTTGCCACTTTGAAGGATATCACATCATTTTAATCGTGTAGCCTTTCAATCGCGTTTACTTTCCTTCCGTTATCTTATTTTTAACTTTATATCCTATATTTTTCAACTGTCTTTGATTTCTAACTCATGATTGGATACTCATTTGAACTTTAACATTAAAGCTATTCTTTAAATATAATTCACGATTCCAATAACATGGTATCAAAGGAAGAATAGCTATTATTCCGTTTACTTATATAGCACAATTCATTTTTATTAACAGTATCACCTATCATCATCACTTTATGATCATTGCTTACAGCTGATCTCTTTAACTTATTTACAACTAGAACTATCTATAGCCTTAATCTTATATTTTCCCTTCCGCAACATCCTACATGAATAGATGGATTGATTAATACATTCTGTTATGCTTCAGTGGCAGTGACTACTTAGTAAAGGTCCTTGATCTTATTCTCCTTATTGGATAAAATTACTATTGCTCATCTAGTCTACTTTTCATAGACTATTATTATACCTAGTTACTGTCTTACTATTTTTAAAAAGAAAATTGACTAGGTACTATTTAGAAAATAATTGTCGTGACAATCTCTTGATGGCCAAATAACGACCTACCAATATTCAATCAAGTCATAACGCAATCCTTCCATCTGGTCGTAATCCCAAGTGAAAATTCAAAATCGAAATAAAGGAGTCGTTGTAAAAATCTTCTCTATTTAAAAAAAATTATGGCTAAAATTAATTGTACAACGGCCTCATTGATATCACCATCAGGTAGCTATAAATTTAAAAAGACGGAGAAAGGTAAGTTGATCATCATGGCCGATATGAAGAAAGATGAAGAGAAGACATCATGCCTTCACGATATCAATTGTAACTGTTATCCGTCTGATTTGGTCACTCGTCGTGGTCGAAAAGCCATGGCTATTAAAATGTCCGTTACTTTATCTTTATTGCTATTAGCTATCATTATTCAGACAGGTTCATTGTATCTTATATCAGTTAAAGAAATTGCTAATGTTGATTTATTATCCGATGATATTGCATTATGTTCAAGTTATGCTAAAATTATTGAAAAATTACAACATGAACGTTGGTCGACGTTACAGATATTATTTTATCATACTCAATTCGTCTCATCGAGCGGAATCCCAATGCAGAATGATTCCATTAAGACATTATTAACTAATACAACAACCATAACAAATAATACATTAACCATACAACTGATGCAAGTTCGCAATCAAACTGATCAACAATTTCAACAATCGATCCAATTCACCAATAAGTCTCTCAACGGTCAATTTCAACGTAGAAAAGATGAACTTTATCGACAATTAGTGATTTACCGTCTTCAAGTTGATTCCAATCTTAGTCTACAAAATACTTCAGATTTACTGGAATTAGCAACGGCTAGTCATTATCATCGACTTATTCAGTTAATATTCGATTGGCTAATAGAATCGAATTATCATTCCAAAGAAGATTTATTATGGCAAGAATTGGTCGCAAATCAGTGGCTAATTCATGCATTAGATAAATTAGAATTAGTCCGATACTATGGTCAACTAATGTGGTATAATTATACCTTGCCGCCTTCATATCAAATCCGTTTTATGCAAGCCTACTATGAACAACAACTCTATCTAAAGCGTGCACAAGCTTTATCAAGTTATATTCATCGTTATTGCAACCTTTATCTTCCATATAATTGCACTATCATCAATCAATTTCACTTAACTCAACTCCAACTTTATAATAAATATACTACACGGGTAGAATACCATGGGGGGCAGGTCATTTGGTTTAGCTATCAAGCCAGCTACCAGCATTATTTAGCAAGTTTGCAATTTCATCTCAACTCTTACCTTGCTACTCGATTAAAGAGAGTCAAGTTATTAGCTCAAGTTAGTCAGACCACAGCAATTGTTTTGCTGATTTTAGTATTAGTCATAAGTCCGTTTTCATTTTTATTAGTGGCTAAATTTATACGTCGTATTCAAAAGTATGTGGCTAAATTAGTCATTAAAAGCGATGATTTAGAATATGAGAAATCACGCACCGATGACTTATTATATCAGTTGTTGCCACCGTCTGTTGCTGAACAACTTAAATTAGGGCGTGCTGTTCACGCTGAATCCTTCGACGATGCTACTATTTATTTTAGTGATGTCGTTGGCTTCACTAATATTTGCCATAGTAGCACTGCTATCCAAGTAGTTTATATGCTGAATGCGTTATATACTCTGTTCGATCGAAAAATTGATAATCACGATGTCTATAAAATTGAAACTATTGGTGATGCTTATATGGTTGTTTCGGGTGTTCCAAAGCGGACGGGAGGACGCTTTCATGCCAAAGAAATTGCTAATATGGCATTGGATATCAGGGCTGAAATTGAAAATATTAAAGTACCGCATATGGAAGGTAGACAAATTAAATTAAGGATCGGCATCCATACAGGTAAGTTATTTATTCTGACGATGTAAATTTAATTTCTTACTATAGAGTGTGAATTTCATGGCGATAATTTAAGACATTAAATTATGCGGTAATCAATCAATCGATCAAATTAGCTAATCATCGACGATAAAAACTAGTAATAAGTGGATTTTTGACATAAACTCATGCATATTAAAATAGCTCCAATCATTTAATTAATTAGGTTATCGCGTATGCATAATATATATTTTTAACTTTTCAACTTCCAACAAGTCATCTATTACATACGCTACAGGGTCTAAACTCCCTATTCCATTTGATAGGGATACTGATTGTACTCAATTTCATTACTAGCACTATTTACAAAGAGTTAAATATAATTTGAAACTAATTATTTCTTGACACTATTATAATTTAAATTTCCCAAAACTTTAATACCGTCGAAGTAATTTTTACCACTATCTTATTTACCTGTTAATCAAATTATTGAGAACGCATTGATGCATGTTAGTAGAATTCTGACAAAAATTAAATTGAAAGATTGTATTTATCTCACTAGAGTCGATTTTTGAAGAGTAATAACAGACGATCAGATAAATTATATTTCCAATTAATCAACGGCAGCTTGAAATTCGCTATCGAGACAAGATAACTATAATTGAATGGTACGTTTAAATCGTCAGTATATTCGCAGTTCCGTTATATTAGCAATCATTAAATATCAGCTTAAAGCCTTCGGAATCTAATCGGAGACTATCATATCTACAATGACTATCGTGTCCAAAATGAAAGCATTTAATATTTGCTTAGTAATACTTTTGTTAGTTTTACTTCTTTCTAGCCTGGAGTATTAGTACTGAAACTTTACTTATGCAAATCGATTGGCAAAGATATAGAGGGCAGAGCTTTATAACGTCATTGACAGCTTTATCCAAACACGAATCTGAATTCTGTAACCTTGGTTTTTACTATAGACTCTGATATTCTAAATGCTTTCTTAGCTAATACAACTAAATCGCTACATATAGGAGGGTTAAGTAGTTATTCTATTTTGTATGTACTATGAAGTCTCTTGTTTACGCATATGATACTGTATTTCAAAAATAAATTCTTAGAACTTTCATAATGTTCAATAGCTCTATGACAGGTAAAGAACTATAAATTAATAACTCCTTATTCTTCAGCTTTTTCAATTTGACAGTTAGGCTCTATCGCTGGTGATATATATCGGTATTTAATACGTTACATACCTGCCAAGATAAAGTCTCTGACTATGAGCAGGCCACTTTTTGAAGCAAATAGCTTCAAAAATGATCTCCTTTATTGAATATTTTCCACTCTTATTTAAAATAAAAGATTACGAAATTACCTTTCATAACGTCCAAACACTTAAAAGTCGTGATTATCTCATCTAGAAAATATCACATACGGGAATATTTATTGATGATGATAGTATTAAATCATTGATCATTAATAATGAAAAATTTTATGAAAGTATATTGGATGTTTTATAAAATTAGTAATTAAATATGTGCATTAATTAAGAAGTGGATATGCTTTACTTGATTTGATATATTCAATATGCGTATAAATACATGGAATAGCATTAATCAGAAGGTCTTAAGTAAATTTCATAGTTGTGGATAGGTATCGTTCACCAAGAAATGTAGCTACTATCACTTAAGCATATATGATCTATGTGGATATTAAAGTTCCTTAGTGTAAAATATTTAATTATCAATTTATTCAGGAAATTTTTACGATAAATAAGCACTTTAGAGTGAAATCACTCTTAAAATTAATCTATATACATGGAGTAAATATAGTTATGCGTGATTCTATATTTTAGCCATTCAACTGATACGCTCTTCTCACGGTAAACATTGAAAACAATTTACTTTGAGTCGAAAATTTTAAATTCGATGGCTTCTATTTTCATTTATCGAAAGTCTTGTCTACCAATTTTATTTAAATTTCTATCTAAATCTAATCGTTTAGATTTCTAGTTTTTTATCCTATTCAACTTCTGATAAAAGCTAATGGAATGGCTTTATGAATAGTGGATAGTAAACTTTAATTTTCTATATTCCTTGTGATCTGCACTATACTGTAGTAGACTTACAGATTCTTAATTTTATTTCTATGATTTCGTTAAAAGAAATATGCACAATAGTTTGATGGAAATCAAATAATAATCTTTGAACTATTCATGTCTCCATAAGCACAACATTCATCCTCATTTTCATAAAAGAATGCCATTAATCCAATAATATTTAGGGTTTTACGGTTTAAACTAGAAGAGGAGCATCATATTATGATCATCTGATGGTAATAGATTGTAAATATTTCGAGTTACATAACAGATAATAAGACTTGTCAGGAGGTACTCTCCTTTTTTATTCCGTTAAAGACTCCTGTTTGCAACTGCGACACTTATATTCAATAGAGTAAACTAAGACTGTTTGCATTCTTTACACTGTCAATATCATTTTCATATTCTATTTACATCAAGTTATTGTCTTTTATTATAAGCCAATCTTGACTAAGGCCTATAACATTACAGGTGTATGTATGAAAGATTTTAAACCATGCTGACCGTTATGTTGTAAGGAAAATTTATCTCTAGTACTAGCTTATGTTCATTACAGTAACTAATACCTTTGAGTTAATAAGCGAATACTAATTTAACTAATCCAGTCGCAATTATTCGTAGCCTAGCAACGCTAAATTAATACCGATAAAGGATTTGTCAACGGCATACTGGGCTATCATATCAGCTAATCTCACTCGGGCTTAAGACTTTTAATAATCGATGACATAAATCTCTTTTTGAAATTTACTCATGTAAAAATTTCGAAAGTGAAACTGCAAAGGAATTATAACGACATTTATATAAAATCGCGAAATCTTTCGTTAGCTCTTAATTTAATCAAGGCGTAGTCTACTCTTTTGTATACAATTATAACAATTATTAAATTATAAAACTCTATCCGTTTTCTGCATCAGCATTAAGGGCAAATGTCTATTTTTAACAGCGACCATCTGTTATTATTGTATCAAATTCACATCAACAATGATAGAACAGCAATAATAGTTAATACCTTTGGTCTCATTATTGTAATTATTATGGAATGGTATTTTAGAAACATTAGCCTAGTAGACAGCGCCACGTGCATGAAATTTTTGTGCTAATTAATTTTGCGTGTATGATGATGTAAATATAGATTTTCCTTAAACCTATTATCCTGTGATTCTTTAACAGTAGTAAATTCAATTCAATATAATATCTTATGTAATCATAGAATTCTATTTTACTAGTTAGAATTTATGTTCTACATAGGATTACGTTTTGTATAATCTCTGCTTACATGTAAAGAAAAATGAGATATACAGTATTTTCTCCTGATATTATCTTGCGATTCTTTGAGGAATAGAGATCTAATAGTATGAAATAACCATAGTTTTTTTAAAAGATATAACTAGCATCTTCCTAAAAGCTATGGCTAAATTCGAATACGATGGTTTCGTAAAATTATAACTAGATATATTGTGCTTTTAAGATTAGGGCTTACTTTGATCTAAATTTTGTCATATTTAACTGTATATGAAAAATTAGTCAGGTTAGTTTAGACCGCTTTTAAAGACGAAAATATATAAATCTTGAAGCTTTGCTCAATATGGATATAGCTATTTTAGAATCATATTTAGAATATTTTAAAATGCTAACCGTATAGAGCTGGAGGATTTCCATGTAAAATGATTGGGATAATAGGCACTTTGAGTATTAGTTTGTTAGGACATTTATATGTCATACAATAAACGCTACAAATGTAGATTTCCATTGGAGTTAGGGGATGATTTATCACTGAAATAAATTTTAGTGAGACAGTATCAGAATAGCATTTTAGGAATTATTATTATTATTAGCCAGCTTCAAGCTATAAATAATGTAAAAAGATAGCATCGAGAGTTATTTAATTGTGCATCAAGAAATTTGTTAAACGCCTACGTTTGAAGATCGCTGTTGAGAAAATTTGTTATTCTTTAACTCACAAGGAAGGGCAAACATGGTCCTCCGTTAAGAGAAAATTATTCTATGTTACTAGAATAAATCCTAATGTGGCAATCAGGGAATAGCATCCTGTAGTATTTAAAACTTGAAGATCTAACAGATATAAGATGGATGATCTTACTGAATTTCTTATAATTTCTAATTTTTCCCGCTAACTATCGACGTAAATGCTCATAACAATTTTGAAAGTTAATAAAATTTAATTAAATACGGCATACTTTCGTCTCCAAATAATCATCGCGTAGGAAAGATATAAAAAAAGTTACTCATTCCGGTATTAATTTCTTTTATTAGTACCAGTGTAATTAATTTTTTTACCATGGTCAATTTAGTTGCCTAAAATTACTTAATTTATCCTATTAAAAACGAAATAAGGTTGAGCAAAAAGCACTAGAATGTCACTAATGACACAGCAAAATCGAAGTAAAATTTCGTATACCTTCTTTGACTAGATGTTCATAACTTATTTTCTATTTCATTAATATACCTTGCTGATGAATTTATTGATTCCATCAATTGGTAATCTTTCGTCAAATATACCATCACTGAATGCATATACAGTTTTATTGAAATTATATTATACCATTGACAGGGAAGGCTACAATGTTTATCGATGATTTTGTGTTATTCCTATATTACTAACGATCGACAATATGAAATATGCATTAATTAGCATCAATATCATAGTTTATCAAGAGAGACATCCTTTCAACCTTAAATAATATCAGCGATAATACTAATATATTTCAAGCTACTTTTAACCAGACTCTAGCTTGTTAATATAACATGTCAGCCACAATTTTAGGAGCTGCGAATATTAATGAATGGCAGATTTAAATTCTAGATTTAATGCCCACAAATTTCGATCTTAATCTAGTGACTATTTTAAATTATAGGATATTTAATAAACAGGCTCCATGCTCTCCTAGCTTTTGCCCTCTATGATTGCTATAGTTAGTCAATTAAATTATTTTAATCTATAAGAAATTTATTGAAGCAGTCGATCTTTTATTATCTTCTGTACTTTTATTTATGTGGTATCGCTATAGCCGATTTTCTGAATGATTATAATCATTGTAGAGGACTGTTCTTTTAACGATTGAGATACTTGATCGACAAATCAGTGACTGGATATTGAAAGAAAAAATTAACCTAAAACCCTAATAGTATTCGTTTATCATCAAATTCCACTCCTTATGATCATTTTATCCTAGTTCAATATTGTCAGCCAAATGTCATTACTACACTTGTACACATGACTAGAGTAGTGCATTACTAATCAGTCGACTGTTAGCAATTTCTATTGACGACCAAATGTTAGAAAATAAGCTTAACTATAAGAGTTGCAGACTACAAAAAAATCCTAACTCAGCTTGATTGTAATTCCTCGTCGTAACATCATGCATACACTACTTTTTTAGGTCCATGTGCAGCTGGCGTGGTTGGTATCAAAATGCCTCGTTATTGTTTATTTGGCGATACAGTAACATTAGCTTCCAAGATGGAATCTAATAGTCAACGTAAGCTTTTAAACATTTTTTAAAAACTAAGATTTTAATTTCATTGATAATCATCTATCATCAGTATCTTGTAATTAATTAGCATAAATTTATTGTTTAAATCGCCTAATATTATTGTAATTCATACCTGATTAATCAATTAAAAACGTGAATGACTCACGTATTATCACTTATTTTCTCATCCCTTGAAAATGGTTACCGTAATCAAATTAATACCATATCTTGTCTATTATTACCATTTAGCAATTTTTCTTTGGTACATTAGATTCATTATAATATGACCTGCTATTAGTTACACACCAATATTATTTGTTTAAACTTTTTTGGGTTAGTATGCTACAGCGTGAGTGTTTTTAATTATTTTAAAATTGTACCTTACTCACACAGATTATTCCCATGTTATTTTACGTGGCGCTTTCTCAATTTTGTGTCTTAACTGATAGTTATCAAGTTTCAATCTAGTGATAGATAGTAGAACCTTTAAATCTTTTTGATAAAAGGATATATTGAGAGGAAAGTGTGAGTGCTTTTATATTTTTGAAATTCTTCTGTTAATTATTCGGAGATTTTATCTAATACTACGAGTATACTATTGCAAGTAATATATATTAATTGAAATATTCTTAGTAATCTTATAGAATGCCTGGAATTACCGTATATGTACGTTAACTATCTCTAGCTTTACTTGCCATCCCTTCAAGTGGAGCAACTACCTTATTACGGTGCTTTCTTATTCAGTACCATATAATTCACCCTTATATTAGTATTAGGTATTAGGTATTTTCACATTCAGAATATAGCTTTTTTTAAATAATACGTTTATGATAAAATTTCTTTAGTTTTATTGGCAGATAACACTATAAAATACTTGTATCATTTTCTTAAATGTTATTTGAAAAGAGTAAATTTTATAACGGTAGTTGTAAATTAAAACGGCTAAACTCCTCGCAGATAATAATTAATACCATAAGGTAGCTACTATTTTACTTTTCAAATATTATTCCAAGTCGTTAATTATTTCACAGTTGTCTAGATAAAATGTAATATGTCAGAATCATCAGAATATATTTCCTTTGCTGTTGGTTAACAACATTTGCGCCTTTACCTTAAATTATTTACAAAATTCTCTAATTAAAATAATAGTAGCAAATTAATCAAATCAAATTTCTATCTTTAATTATTAAAGTATTTACTAATTAAAATTAATTAATTAACAGTATCCCTTCGTTAATTTATTCAATTTATCTAACAATACCTATCAACAGTTCAATATAGCACATTTAATTTGCCTAAACTAACCTATCTCAATGAAAGTTAGTCTTCTTTCAGTGCAAAATTTATTTACCAGCCTCAATTCTTGATTTAAAATATAACGTTACTGATATTGTTTATCTATGAGTGTATGCATGATGCATGATTGAAGTTATTGTCCGCTACTTTTTGCTATAAGGGTATGATAAATTTCTTTTAAGAATCATTATCAAGCCAATTAATGAAAAAAATTAGTATTGATCATTTTAATTTTAATATCATCTCTTAAGGGTTAATTACTGATCAAATTTAGGTAAATCTACTTCCGTGTAGTACAAACTAATTATAACAGAGTTAAATAGCTGCGGTTTCTTTTCTAATTATTTTATCAAGATTGATACAGTTTCGTGAATTTTTTAATACTATGGCCATATAAATACTGATTAATCGCAAGATTAATCACTGTGCCATTAATGGGTTACAGCAGGTGCAGAAAAAGTTTCCTAAAGATGCCTTTAACAACTAATAATTTTGCAAAATCATTTTTATGACAAAATTTTCTCTTCATTAACAAATTTAAGGAATACGCTTTTAACTTCTAAGATTTACAATCCGCTAACTCAAAATTTTCATTATTAAAATAGAGTAAATACCTAATTTGAAATAACGCCTTTTGTACATATGGTAATACTAGTATAGGCACACCGTTTCATCATACCACCAATAATCTACAACTACTTTAATAAGCATATCCAATTAATTCATTCAGTGTTTTGCTTTATATTGTTATTATACTAAAAATGCATAACTACTGTAATTAGCAGAAATCAGTACAATCAATTAACGTAAAATCGATATAATCTTTATAAATATAACTGTTTATGAGTAGAATCTTATAGAGACCTTTTAAATCCTCTGAATATGCTTCATGAAGTTCTAAGACTAGATACAGTTCTTATTGATTAATTTCGCCTTTATAAAAATTATAATAATAACATTGGCTAAGTACATAACTGTAGGACTTGAATATCATTTTAACATACTATTTTTACTATGGCAACAAACTATTGTCAGGCAATTGAATGCTTAAGTTATGAATTATTTAGTATTTGCTTGGCGCAGTAATATAGATTACGAATTTATAGGATGTTATTGAAGAATCATATGCTAATTGTTAATTAGATTTCTATCGTCCTTTATGGCATTATTAAAGCTGTGAATTTGCTAAGATTTCAGATTGTGATATATTTTCTTTAGCTTTTTTTTAGTCCAACAAAAAATAATTAGTCCTTAAAACCTTAAACCTAAGCATATTGTAGTAATGGTTATTTAGTGAGAAAGCACTTTTCTATAATCCTTAATCTAGGTTTTCTTGAGCATTACTTCTGCAATTTTATTTTGTTATGGGGCCATTGGAGATATTTTCGGAATACATTTGCAGTATGCACTATTATGATTGTAATTATCTATCTTATATGGACTAGGTACTACAAATCGTATTTGCTGATTTTGATATTTTTATTCAGTTAAATGTAATCACGTTAGTATCATGAGATACATAAAGACTACATTCCTTTCGTAGCCTAATAAAATATAATTTCTTTTCCTCACTTCTTAATTACCAGACGGGCATGATTGAAATAACCTTATGCCTTAAATATTATATTAATTAATTTATCTATTTATAGCATTGATTTTCTAATCATTGTCTGCAATAATTAAACGTTACAGGAACTATCACGTATGAAAAAATAGTACATTCGAGAAATACAATAATTATATTTCTAGTAAAAGCTTTTAACCTAATTGATCACCAATAACTATCTGTTTAAAATTTACCGGTTATTGACTTTATAAGTTTTATTAATGACAAATTATCTCATATAAATCTTAAGCGAAATTCTATCAATTTCAAAGTTGACCTTTCGATTTAATCTTATTTAATTAATATAATTTTCTAGCATCAAAAATCCATATTAGCCAAAATACTTATGAAGCACTACTGGAGATAGGTGGATTTTTAACTGAATACCGTTGTGAGATTCATGTTCAGGTAACATATTTTAGTAACGTATAATTAATATTTAGCACATGGATCTACTTAACATAGTTAATAATTGTATTCAAAGTATAGAGGCTGTTATTGATCTTTGTTTTGATTTAGATTAAAAATTTATTTTAATCGAACTTGGAAATAGATAAATAATAATTACACTGTATTGGTATATGAATGGTAATAATTTGAACGTCACTAGCTACTGTTTAATCATTCACGTATTTGTATGTTTATTTGTTATCACCAGGGGATTGGAATGATAAAGACCCATTGGTTGCTTAGTAATAAGGTTGATATTGTTGAAACGGCATCCTGATATCAGTAGGATTAGTAATGAAAAATGGTTGAATAATATCGGCGGGAGAGTGAATTAAAATGAAAAAATACTAAATGCTGTTACTGATGAGATATTGAATTAGACCAATTCACAACACAGATTCATTCATATAGACTTCTACAGCTACGTTAAATTTACATGCATAAATACGATACAATTTATGCTAAAATAACTGCTGTTAGCGTATGTTCTGCTTCGAAATACACAATTTATCCTGCACGACTGATGTATGGTCTTCCATAGCAGATAATAGGTGATTACTTGACTATCTATCAAAGATATTCAAACGTTATATCTTGGTTATGAAACTGATTTAATATAAATTTATTGTGATTAAATTCAAATGCACATATGTAAGAATACTGGAGTAACAACTTGCATATTAACTGTAAAAAAATTCAGATACTTTTAAACGAGTCAATTAACTTTGGTAAGATAATGAGGAACTAAGATCATAACTATGAATTATTTTGTAAAAACGCTAATTCTAAAGTAAGAGATGCTTGTTTGATCAATTTGTAACCTTATAATAATAATCAAGTGTTCTCTATACGTATAGGCAGGTGATGACTGGACCTTTATCATAATCTAGACGTTTTTTATGTGAGGAATTATCTATCTATATCGATTTTTATAAGCTTAATGAATAATTCTTATAGTGCACTTTGTGTTATCTTAAGGAATGATAACATAATTCAATAGCACCTAAATGAATATCGTTATATCAATTTATTATTCACAATGGATATGCACAGTATGTTATAGGTGTCATATAATGATATAACATACCGGTAGTCTGACTATGTAGAATTATTGCTGAAATTACTCAGTTATTAAAGAATAAATGATTGTTTATATGGTGATCCTAATTAAATTCTCAAGAATTTTCTATCGTGTAATTTTTGAATGCATGTAGTTTATTAAGAATTAAAATAATCCTGTAACAAATAGATAATGGTTAACTATGATAGTATAGATTTATTCGTAATTTAGATACTGAAATAGCCCGGTAAAATTGTACAACTCTATAACTTGATTGCGAGTAAAGGGTTAATTGGTTAGACTGATTCATTTGTTTATTAACAAATTAATGAATTATTGCGCAGATAGAACTTGTAGTTATCAATAACAATACTTACGAAATTTAACAAGGCAACCGCTGTTTATGGCGTACCAAAAAAATATTGACCGATGAATTTATAGCCCTTTTTAAGAACCTATATTAGTATATATTAAAACATATTACAGGCAGATTACCTATAAAAAGAATTGTGTAAGTCATTCAATTAAACATTAAGTAAAAGCATGTATTATATATCAATGAAAGACGCATTCAGTAAGCTAAACCTGTTCTAACTATTGTTTACTGGAATGTAAAGTACACAAATAGAATTTGTATTGATTCCTTTACAATAATTGGGGTTACGCATATTGGAAATCATCCATAGTGTTAACTTCAAACGTTTTCAGTTACATTGAGAAGGAATATAACTCGTACATTTCCTAGAATAATATAAGATTAACTTTATTATACCGAATAAGGTGGCAAAGTACTTATTATTAAATATGTATATAATATAAATTAGAGGTGTTAGTTATCCTATTCTTTTCTCAGTGCTGAAAATAGAAGGTATAACGCAAGGTATATGGAGCGGGTGTAATCATCAGTCTAAGGCACACATAGCAATATTTTAATGCAACTTTAGAGCGCTATTGCAAATATTGTAAACGTAGCCTTCTATTGATAATAAATTCCGATTTATATCTATTTACTGTATACCTTGATTGTACGTCATAGTTATGATAAAAACGTATCAGTATTATGGATTCTTATTTCTCAATTGTGTAAGAGATTGATTGTCCTTGAGTTACGTGAAATTGTAAGTAAGAAAAAATCTTATATTACATTTTATATTTTGAAAATCTATAATATGTCAGGCATGATTAATTTAGAGTGCAAGAGTAGAATGATGCCTGAGTCGATGCCTTTGCCCCACTTCTCAAAATTGAACTAAACAGTACCATGTTAGAATTGGAAGACGGCTTAATTTATTAAATCGATATTGTGCTGTAAATAAATAATGACAGACGTCTGATATGAATGGATGAATCAAGTTTATCTTAAATACAGTAGAAGACATACTTAAATTCAGTTATATGCTTTATTACTAGTATTAAATGGTCTACAGTACAGCATTAAATTATGAATGCAGATGCGGATTAATTGTTGATGTTTACCCTTATTTTTGTTTAATGAATGGAGTCTTCAATTTAGCCTTTAAATGAAATTAAATACTATCAAGGAGAAAAAAAGAAATTGATATATTATGAAGCAATGCAATCTGCATCTGTAACAAGCAAAGATTTGAAGTGGCCGTAAACCAATAGATCTACAACTTGATAAGCCATTTCAGCATCTTACCGACTGTATAACTAGAAATTATGACGATCGTATCATTAAAAGCCACAGCTAATGTTGTACTCGTATCTACTTGGATAAAGCACAGTACGTACGAAACATATAGCATTTTTACTGAAGTACGAGCTAATTTGTTATTTAGCTACTTAAACATCCGACATTGCTTAAATACATCTTTATAAATATATGCTATATATACAAAATATGTATAAAACTATAGATCAAATTGTCATTGTCGGTTACTTTCTTGATAACTTATCTAGAAAAAATTATATGGCGATGGTAGTACTATAAAAAATCACTCGTTCATAACAATATTATATTATGAACGGTGATTATAACTTTATTGTGTTAGGCTATTTCTGCATTGATATTTAAAACGGTTTACTGATCAATGTTATGTCTTGAGCTAAGCAGAATGGTTAAAATTATTTTACGTTATAGCTTACCGAATCATTGATTTATAAGCATCAATGTATGCTGTGTTAATTTTTAATTAATAGAAAGAATGGGTTTATTCGAGTTGCCCTAAAGCGTAACGTCCTAAGATAGAAATAGTATATAAAATGATTTAAATTTGCTATTAAATCTACTTAGTGATAAGATTTAATGATGCGAGTAAAGTATTACAGTTATGCGCTGTCGTACGAAAAAGAGGAGGCCAAATTATATCCTAGGCTAGGTAGAACGGTGCTAGTTCGTTAGTAATGCGGTAATTACTATATTCAGTGTGTTTAAATATTTTAATATTCACCCATAATGATATAGATAAAAGCTTAGTATTATCGATTTTTAAAGCAATCTATAACAATGCAATTTTTGATTTCTGTGTTTTTTAAATTAGTAGAAGGAGAACATCAGTTTACGTAATTATCATTGATAGGATATTACAGTAAGCTGTAATAAAGGTACAACGATGTCGTTATAATCTATAGCCATCAACGACATTTAAGGGATTGTAAATTTTCAATGCATGTTTTTTGTAAATCAATAACAAAATACATAGATCTTCCTATCATTAGCATGATTAAATCGACTGATTAATTATATAAATTGTTTTTCTTGATTTGCTATGATTGATTTTAATCTGTTCCTGTATGCATTGTCACGATAGATTATAACTATAATAATTTTATAATGAACAATAGTGATTTATAGCGTTACTGTTGTCCATATTAGATAAAATTCAATGCTACTAAGTATTATAGAATCAAAATTAGGTAGTAAATGCTACCGGTATAGTCTATAAAAAACTTTATGCCAATGAAAATTAACTATAAAGAGATCAATGCGTATTTCTTAAGGCTCATCTTCGAATAATACTTGAATAGACAGGATTAAAAATAATGATACCGCTCAGTAAGAATCTTATTGATGGAAAGGCTATTAATCACACATGATAGTATATGTTACTATTTTAAATATTTTATTATGATATTAAAATGCAAGTAATAATGCCGTCAATCAATCATAACAGCTATTGGTTTTACATCAAGGATTAGTTGTTATCGCTATAAAATTTTTTATTATAAGAGATATGATACTTGGGCGAATAAAATAATAATATGCAATTTATAATTGTTTTCGTTATATTCGATATGATTCAGATAGTTGCTATAAAAATAAGATCTAAATTGTGATGAAAATGGAATAGTTGTAGGAAAGCTAAGATGATTAATTAAACGAAATTTGTAATACTTGTTTTCATTACTTTACAGTATATATGAGCATTTTCATCGGTATCTATTAATTTTGTATGTAAATTATGCTAGAAAATATGAGCAATAAAATGAAATTTATAATTTATTCTCAGAACATTTGATATGGTCAGGGATGTTATTTCGATCACCATAGCATCTATCTATATTAGAGATCATCTGATATTGTTTGCTTTATTCCAGGTGGGAATATTAGATCAGTTTAATATTTCGCCATATCAAGGATCTACTTCCGCTGAAATCATCATTATTGTTTTCATTTTTCAGTTAACTAATTCAACAAAAAATCAATCAATAGTGCTAGTCTTTTTATGAAGAGAAATTAGTGTAAATTAAGATTTTTTGAATTGCTAAGGTAACAACGCTAACATTTGATTTAGAGCTAACTATAAGAATTGGATCGTGTATAGATGATCATTTCGAAGAGTTAAGGATAAGACCAGAACGTACGGTGTAGATAAAGATTCACCTTCTCATTTTTAGAGAGATGACTGTGGCAAACATTGCATAAAGAAGCTAAGAACTGGCACTAAGGATCAAACGCAACCATCTTTCTTTGCTTCTCCTAATGATATTTCATTTGAAGCTATTTGTGCAAACTTATAAATCGATTTATAAGAGCAGCAGAGAAGATGCCAATAGAATAATAGTGTAAAGGATTAAATAAGGAATAATCGACGGTAAGTGAGAATTTTTAATCTTGCTGTATTTCACTTTTTAAAATAGCACGATATGGTTTACAGACTGTTTAAAATCATTTTCTCTCTTCAAAATAAATCCTTATGATTAAGAAGGGTATTCCTTTT